TGAATGTTCCTGACTTTGTGACCAAGTTCCTCAAGTTCACTTTGAATACTCTCTGCTTCAACAGATTCAGAAATTAAAAACTAAATAATTCAGAAACTATTACTGATAGAAATAATCTAAACACGGATCTGAATTCAGCTTATAAATGTCTGTAAGAATTAAAAAAAAATTATCCAGAAAAAATATACTTCAAATTTCGTGTGTGAGCACCGTGTTGCAATGTCCAGAAAGCTTTAGTAATTCTCCACCAGAAAAATTGTATTTCTTAATTGAACTTTATAAGAGCCTTCACAATTTAACACGACTTGTTTTGGTTTTCTAAAATGAAAAAAAATATTACTACAAATGCTTTTCTGTATCTCATTTTCTTACTGGACATTTCTGGCACGTCAAATGTGGCGGAAGTATCAACTAATTATTGAAAAATGTTGAAAATTGGCATTCTTTTACAATGTCACGATATTGAATGTACTTCCTACGGAGTAAAGAGAAAGCAAATAATCGATTGAATGTATTTTAATACTGCGAAAAATCGATCGAAAGTTTGACGAAAATTCACGTTTGGGGAATCTCTGGTTCTGAAAGTGTAGTTTCCAAAAACGTCTATCTGTCTGTCTGGCTAGGATCACAAAAAATAAGGATAAAACTACTGGATACACTTGAAAACATTTGAACGGGCCACCTATCAGAGACGGCGTTGACCTTGAGAAAAAAAATGCACGAAAGGAACTGCCTTCACAAATATTCTCCAACAGCATTGTACATTCTCGTTTTGTTTGTAAATATAGCTGTTGAAATTCCCGTTGTGGATTTGTAGGTTGGTTAGCAGCTGTATTGGGAGATGGGCTGCTGAAGGTTAGATCGTTCGTTTCACATTTGCATAATTTGCAAAAAGAGTGGATACTCCCAGAACAAAATTGATAGTAAATAATAAATTCAATAAAATTTGTATTCAGCATAATAACACACGCAGAAGTAATTCATATGTAACTTACACAAGGGAAATACGGACCATTTGAGAGTTTAAACAAAAAAAACTGGCCTCAAACTAACCTTTTTAGTCGATGAAGTGTATCACTAGTACCCACAAACGCTATTCTCACGCTCCCTAATGTTTTGGCCCACTGTACACTCCCGGGGCTGCCCCGTCCCCGGCCCCGTCACCGCCCCCTGCGCTTCCCCCTCTCTTTCCGACCAACCTCCTCCTCCTCCTCCGCCGCCGCCGCCGCCGCCGCGCTTCAAAGCGACAGTGAGGCGGTCTGCGCGACGCGAACCAGTCGTTGCCAGCCCGCGGACGCCGATAGACGCGATCGCAGTGATTGGCGGCAGGCGCTCTCCACCGCCGCTTGGCTCCATCGCAGGGACCGACGAGGGACTCGTTCCAATGGAGCAGGACACCAGGTGAGCGTCGTGGCGGAAACAAAAGAATGACCGCGCAGGTTAGGAAGTGTGAGAATCCATTGTTTTCAAAGCCTGCTTCGGCACAAGAGGTAAAACTGATCTAAGCAACTTAAAGAACCTTTTCTGGATGTGTATGTGGCACTTGTGATTTCAATTTAATTTTGCGATTAAACTCCAAACAAAGCACTCTTTGCCTCTTTGAAAAAATACTTTTCTCTATGGCATAAACATGAGCCACTGGTATAATCATTAAGTTTGAAAGCACTTGACAAACTATAACAACATGTAGTACCTTCGGTAGCTTCAACATCTACGGCCTTCCGAAACTAAGAAATTAAAATGCAGAATTTTACTAAGAACGTTATTGGTAATATATTTTCAAGTAATCGACACCTACGCTATCTTCGTTCATTTCAACATGTATTTAAAACCAAATTACTCATTCAACGGCGTTGATCCAAAATATAAAATACAATATGGGTGATGTGTTAAATCGTGGTTCAAATACGAAAACGTTCTATAAATAACACTTTTCAAAAAATGTGTATATGTTGTCCTACACATTCGTTGTTTAGATAAGCGAATCGCCATTTTTCGGCGAAAGTTTATTTTGCTCGTGTGACTCTATTCAGAATGCTGCATTGCTTCGCAGTGTGCAGACAATCATATGTCTCCATTCCGATGAGAGTTACTAATTGTCACTAAATATAACAGGGAGATCAAACAAATTTCCTCGTGATTTCTAGTACTTTTAAGCTAATTCTACAAGTATTTGTGTTGGTGATTCCAAAACTGCTGTGTGATTTCATCTAGCACTTTCATTTTCGATAATTTTTAAAAGGGATTATTTTTTAATTCAATTCCCATCGTTGTTTATTGTCAGTACACAGTTTACACCCGCTGTTTATAATTGTTATTACTCATGTTCTCGTGTAAAATGTTTCCAACAAGAACGTCCACAAACAATCTCATAAATAGACTCTCTTAATTTATACTATTACTCTTACTTTCAGACTATGAGAAAGTCGAGGCATCCTTATTGTATCACCCAACCGTTGGCAGCATGGTCAGTACATAAGTTTCAAAATTGGCTAGTCTACAATTGTGTAAATTAGCGGCTTTAAAAGGTGCGGTATTAGCGACTCCGATTTGGGTGCAAGGAAGATAGGCGATGAGGGTGCAGCCCCAAAAGCCTCCTCTCGTGAGCTCAACCGGCGGTCTTCATTTTCAATCCAGAACGGAGGAATCCATTGCGTGAGAAACGCTTTGTAAGCGAGGAAGATTCAACTGCGCCTCAACAGCACGCTTTACGTATTGACGTCTTTATGTTGTTTCAGAGCAAATAATGCACGTGGTTGAATTTCCTAAAGCTGGTAAGAGCAACGATTTTAAGCAAATAGTTCCATTAATTGTGATAAGGGGCCGTAAATTACGTAAAGAAAATTTGGATTATTCTGAATACCACCTCACCCTTCGTCACGTACCTGTAACGCGCGATTGACGCCCCCCCCCCCACCACCACCACTCCTATGTAAATGCTAAGTGAAAATAAATTATAGTTCAGTGCAAAGTTTTCATTTCATCCATTCAGTAACAACTTATAACTTAAAATAATTTGGTTTTAAAACCATTTAATTACATTTTCATGTTTTAGTGTGACAAAAAAAGGAATTTCTACAAATGCTAAAAAAATGTTAACAAAATGTTAAATATCACTAATGGATACCCTCTACCCCTATGTAACGCAACCTCAACCCGCCCTCCCCCCTCTAGCGTTACGTAATTTGAATTGAATTTAATTAACTGAATTAATGCCTTCTCGGGCCATGGGGCTCGCTCTTCCGTGTGACCACGCAAATTTTCTTTATGCTCCTTTACTAATAGCAGAGAAAAGAGGTATTTGTTAGGCGCGAAAAAAGCGATTTGAATTTAGCTCAGAGGCGTCCTTTAGGCTTGAGGATCTTTTACATGTAAGTAAATCTACTAAAATGGGACAGCCGGCTTTACTTCCCCTCCGAAGGAAGGCGAACGAAGGATTTTTTCAACCGTAAAATCCACTTAAAATCCAAAATTCGATCGGGTTTGAACCCGTCAACTTGTTTATAACAGTCCGATACGCTAACCATTACACCATGACATTGGTGCTAACACTAGTCACTATCTAGGTTTCACGTGAATTTTGCGTCAAAATTATCTTCATGCAGAGTGTCGATTAAATAAACTTTCTCTTTAAATATAAATTGTTTAAAGCTTAGTGAACCTTTTTTTCCCCAATCACAATTTGGCAGGAATAAGAATTTTTTTAACTGATAAAATTGGTTTGAATTAGTTTTCACTCTCGTTCACATAGTTAAAAAATCTGGAATAAAATATGTGATAGAATGCTATGAGACTCATTCTACGGGAAAAAAACTGAGATGGTACGTTATCACGTCGAAAATCTGTTTCATAAATTTAGAAATTTTTTTCAGTTTTAATTTGGCGCTCATCTTGGTAGACAAAAATACTTTCAAATTCAAGTATTTTTCCCAGTCTCTCCATTTTTACTTACACTTACTGACGTAAGAAGAGAAAGTGCTGTAATTGTGCGCCGGAAAACGGCGGATTTTCGACACAAAATCTCTTATTGCCCTGGGCCCTGCTAAGGAAAAAGTGCATAAATACAGTTGCTAAATATAGACATTGGGGAAATCCTCTTAACACGTGGTGTAGCCAGAATGCACGTTTTGTGCGTCCTTCATATCTGCATCTGTCTATCCGTCTTGTCTGTTCATATTGCTACAGCATAAACCGTTCATCTGATTCATCGTTCTGGCTGATGACGCGGCACCTGGAATTTGAAACCGATATTTTAATTTTGGAGGGGAATTTTTTGACTTAATTTTGTTGTTGCAAAAGACGTTTTAGAAAATTGTGTAAATCTCATATTCGTTGAAATCCCTGATTTTCGAAAATTGTAATAAAAAAATTAAAACTACAAAATTAAAGATAGATATTTTTATCTCAAAGTCTGTTAGTCAAACTTAGCTCTTTAAAACAAGTCTAGTACAAATTGTGTGAAAAACGAGTAGTTTTGCGTAATATGCGCTTGAAATTTACGATTTTTTTTCTTAAAAACCACTCCAATTTTTTCTCTCTAAATTATCTCCACTTATGTAATTAGGGACAGTAAGAAATATGACGCTAATCACATTGTCAGATATTGCTCGTCTTTTTTCGAAAATTGCAAAAGAATCAAAACTACAAAATTGAATATTTTTGCCTCACACAAACTCTGTTGTGCAAAATTAGTTTTTTTAAAAAAAAGGTTTTAAACGATTATTTGAAAAAAAGTTTTGCGTAAGTTCAGGATGAATTACAGATCCAGACTTCACGGAAGATGATGCTCTAAATGAACCTCACACCATTTATAACACAGAAGAAGGATGTTTAAGTAAAACCAAGACAGGATTGAAAGGATGGAAGCTACTGCAGGGTGACGCCAAAGTAAGATTTTTCCGTCAACGCCAAAAGGAATTTGAGCGTTTATTTTCTTAAGAGTTAACCTACTTTTCTGCAATGACGTTGAAAATTTGTTCCAGTTACTGGATGTTGAGCATAAATCTGAGGATTGGCGTTTGTTCATAGTCTCCTCCCTGTCCATAGAAAACAAGTTTGTAAGGAGTTACTTCGTAATGGAAACAAACACTATGTGTTTGAAAGTATCCGGACACGTCCAAAAACATACGTTTTTCATTTTAGGTGCATTAAGCTGCCACCTACTGCCAGGTACTTCATATCAGCAACCGCAGTAGTCATTAGAAGGCAGAAGGGTGCGCTCGGTGGAACTCTGACTTCGAACGTGGTCAGGTGATTGGGAGTCACATGTGTCAGAAGCTTGTACGCGAGATTTCCATACTCCTCAACATCCCTAGGGCCATTGTTGCTGATTCTATAGGGAAGTGGATCCGTGAAGTACCCCGTCTGTTGGGACTGACAAAGGACCTCCGAACCGTTGGGAGTGGGGTCGTTAAAGGTGCAATAGGCAACACATAGCCAGACCGGTCACACAGGAAATTTCGAAACTGCACCAATATCCATGCCGAGTACTATGAGAGTTAGGCGGGAGGTGAGGAAGCTAGGATTTCGTGGTCGAGCGGCTGGTTGGAAGCCACACACCTCGCAGGCAAATCTCAAACGACGCCTCGCTTGGCGCCAAGGAGCGCACACCTCGGACGATTGAACAGTGGAAAAACGAGGTGCGGAGTGACGATCTCGGTCCGATGGCAGATGTGCGGATGGGGCGAATGCCGGTGAACGTCACTGCCTGCGTGAGTAGTGCCAACAGTGAAATTCGAAGGCGTCGGTGTTATGGTTTGGTCGTGTTTATATGAAGGAGGATTGCACCCTTGTTGTTTGAGTGGCACTATCATAGCATAGATCTACGTTCATGTTTTAACCCTTTTTTACTTCCTACTGTTGAAGAGCAATTCGGGAATGGCGATTGCGTCTTTCAACACGCGATCGAGCACGCATTTCATACTCCATGGCCTGCAGGGAGTGCGTTCCACGACAATAACATCCCCGTAATGCACTGGCCTGCACAAGGTTTTGGCTTGAATTATATCGAACACCTTTGGGATGCTTTGGAACGCCGACGTCGTGCCAGGCCTCACCCTCCTACATCGATACCTCTCCTCAGTACAGCACTCCGTGAAGAATGGGATGCCATTCCCCAAGAAACCTTCCAGCATCTGCTTGAAAGTGTGCCTGCGAGAGTGGAAGCTGTCATCAAGCCTAACGATGGGCCAACACACTATTGAATTCCAGCATTACTGAAGGAGAGTGCCACGAACTGCTAACTCATTTTCAGCCACGGGTCCGGATACTTTTGATCACCTAGTTTATATAAATCCGTTCCTTTAGCCCATGCAGTTGGTTTGAAGGAAAACTATGAAAATATGAAACTCTTACTATCCGCTATCAAGAATGACGAGTTTTTGGGAGATATGTGGAGATATGAAACTTATAGCCGTCTTACTAGCTTGGGTATACAAAATTTTATTGCTTCTTGTTTAAGTGAAATAGCAGATATAAATGTAATTATTATGTTAAAAAGAACTAGCCGAAAGGAGAGGCACTTAATCCAGGTCATGAAAATGTTCTTCAGCAACCACCAGTACGTTCTGAAAAAATCTTATTGCCTCCACTACACATCAAATTGAAGATTGATTAAGAATTTCGTGTAAGATATGGATCGTGATAGCAGTGCATTCTTTTTCCAGAAAAATAAAATCCCAAGGTTCAGTGATGCTAAACTAAAGGAAGGAACATTTGTCCCTCAAATACGGGAACTGATGAACGATCCGCAATTTGAATGCAAGAAGCAGCTGTGTGGCAATCTTTCAAAAACGTTGTGAAAAACTTTCTAGGAAACTGCAGGTCTGATAAGTACAGAGGACTTGCCAGTGGGATGATTTAGAATACAAGATAATGGGATGTAATATGTAATTGAAAATACTTTCTGTAGCATCTCGATTTCTTTCTTCAAACCCTAGGGGGCGTGAGCGACGACCACGAGGAGCGTTTCCACTAGGGCATCGCGGGAAAGGAAAGGCGCTTCCATGGTGAATGGTGCATGTGGGAAGAGCTTATTTGTTTGCGCAACAATGCCGCAACCGATATTTGAGAAGCTCATGGTTGTTGAACGTTGACATGGATTTGATAAGATGCAGCTGCTTTATTTAGTCGAGCATGTGTTTCAAAATAACTTTTTAAAAATGATTCGAAACCTATTTGATTATCCATATTTTTGTCCCTGTTTTCTCTCGTGCAGTAAGAAAAAAATTCTAGCAATAGCATGATTTGTGCAGCGTAACTCCTAGGCCAAGAGCCAGTACTTCCGTTTGCAATGAGTTTCTCAGCAGTTTTTGATAAATTACTCCCCAGAATGCCCGGTAAGGTACATCACCTGAATGAAACGTTCAGAAATAATTAGCAGAAGGACAAATCTAAACGTGAACGCATTACACAAAATGCTGATATATTTATTTGTTATATTTTATAAACATTGTTTGTATTCACCAGTTCAGATTTTAAAATCAAGACATCCATAGTCACAATTACAAACGTAGATGCCAAGTTGGTTTATTTTTACGTAAGTAGACGTAGTATTCAAAATTATGTATTAGGCCATTTTTACGTTTATTAATAATAAAGTATAAATACTTATTTTAAATCAATGTAGATTTTAGTTTAAAATAACCTCAAAATAATGTGATTTGGAAAAATGCCATTTTGTAAGTGGATACTCTTTTTAAGTGTTAGGTACAATGCTATTTTACAAAACATAACTACCATGCTATTTGAAACGCTCCGGA